CATAGCCAAAAATTATAAAAGGAACTGATAGCAAAGGCAAGAACTGTAAAACTGAGCAAAGTTGATATGGATATCAGCAAAACAATAAGTAAGAACTTTCTTAATGCTTTTCCTGTGTCAGTGCTTGTTCTTAGTAAAAATTAACTAAACAAAAATTTTGACCTACATGTAGCTTACTAAAATAATAAATGTATGGTAAATTAAGAATATTTGCTTAGTTTCAGTAAACTGTGTACAGTCACAGTTTCAGTGGATAACAACTTTTCCAAAACTAATGCTAAAACAATACTATTTCATTTTCTAGATGTCATATGTGTATTATTATGTGTAGCGAGCTACATATGGCTGATAATTAAAGTAAATAGTTGAACATGTATTTTGTCTTATTTTATGATGAATATTTTCATAGTACATCCAAAAGAAAAGGCTTCGAAAGCCATCGTATGTAAATATTGTTTGATAAACCGTGTATAATGATCAAGAAACAATATTCTACATGTACAATAATTATCATTGTAAAATAGATCATCATTAATACTATTAATAATATCAATAGCACTATTATTATTAATACACTGTACTGCAGATAAAAATGAAACTACAATTACTACTAGGAACCACATATACATATACAGTACAAACACAAAAAGAGTTAATCGGCTTGGGATGTAAGAAATGGAGACAAAAAAGCAGTTACATAATGGACCTAGCCACCTCAGTAAGGAAGGAAAGGAATAGTTTGATAAAGTTACTTATTTCTCAAAAGCACACACATAGGTTACATGTAATACTGGTTACATGTATTACAATCTTATCAACACTTACCATGCATGATTTCCATTTCGCCTCTTTGGCACTCAGTCGCTTAAGTGACACAAATGAACAAATCACTCATTTAGACCTTTTCAGCCCTCCATTGTACCTCCAGGCGTGGCTAATTGTAATTGAATATCATTCTGATTCACTTGTTTGATTTTACCTCAGTCTGATATCTCTGGTCTGATATATTGCTGTTATACAAAGAAGATACTGGATGTAATGCTACATTAATGAATCTTTACTCTGAGTGTAACAGTGCTGTTTACACTGGTGTATCATGATTTTATGAAGATGGCTGCCAGTCACCTGGAGGGAATCGGGATTGCTTTTCTTCAGTTTTCTAAGGCTTACGAAGGTAATAGCGAAGTTGCAGCCTATTCTGATAGTATATCAGATGAGTATAGGTTGTTATAAAGTTGGCAATTTCTGAAGATTGCAATTTCAGTGGTCATTTTTGAGTGAAAAAAATTATACAAGCAGTGAGTCAGCCTATTTTTGACATCTGATTATGATGCTTTTGCTTGAATTATTCAGATAGGCATGATAATTTTGTGGATGGTGTCACTGAGGTTGCCGCCATGTTTTGTAGTTTGATTTGCTCAATTGAAGGTACATTATGTAGTAACTATCATAAGAATGTGACATTGAAAAGTATTCATTACATTAGGATCTTTCAAAGGATGCTGTATTAATAATGCCAATTAATGTAAAACAGCAATTTTGGTGGTGCATTATTGGTATGTTTTGCTTTATATTTTCTGTAGTGTTCTGTACTCATTTTGATAACTGAGCTGTGTGTTGCATGATTACCTCTTACTTATAATGAACAGTAATGTATTGATATTATTTTTAAAGGAAAGCCCCCTGAGCTAACTGCATAAGATTTTTGACTGGAAATATGTCCATCAGAAATGACAAGTTTTGTGTAAGTTGCTATCATATTCTGCTAAATAATGCATGCCTGTAAGTATAGTACTGTACTGCTGAAAAGTTGTCAAAGGATTGTCTTCCATAACTGCCTACATCTTTTATTTAAACTTTGCTACAAGACAGAAAGAGAGAATGAGATGCTGAGAGAGCGAGAAGTAAGATATCGATCCTGAGAGATTTAAATTTGTCATTGTGTCATGAGAAATAAATTTAAAGAACTAAAATAGGAGTGAAGTCTCAGTAATGAATAATGATTAGCCTAGGTATGAATAATTAATGATTCAAATTTTTAAAATAGTAATTATAAAATTGTTTATATGGTTCTAATGGCTTTTATTTCAAAAATTCTTTTCTTCCAATAATGAACCGATAAACATTTAAACCTAAAAATGGATGTCAAATTTAATACTATCAATAAAAAGAATTCTAAATAATTAGTATTTCAATTAATAATAATAGAAGAGTTAATTTAATTTGTCTCTAAATAGTGGAATAAGTTTATTGACATAATAGGTGTTTAGTTTTAATGGTTGAATCCATCTCTGAATGGAATTGACAGTTGAGTCCTTGTGTTTGTGTGGGTTTAATGGTTGAATCCGTGTCTGAATGGAATATGCATGAAGGGAATTGAATCCTGTTGTCTTAAATTCATACCAATTATTGTACATTTATATAGCATAATTCATGCAAGCCACTATTTGATGTGTTTTAGTACGTGCAAGTGTCTTACATCATGTGATTGTGAAACATGGAGTCGAGCAACAACTGACAGTGATCTGTCCATTTAGTTATCCTGTACCGTGGCGGCCCTGTTCACTCGAACTGGGAAGTCTTGGTTTCTCTGTGAGGACACGCATCATTTTACATGATGTGTGCGGGTGGACATGCAGTTTGGAGGAATGTGGGTGTTCTTTAAAGCCAGGCCTGCATCACTGTGAAGGTCAGGCTGGCTATGTCATAAAATGTCATGCTAGTAAGTCACAAGTGTTATATTAATGTAGTGGTAGTGTTGCATTGGATAGTATTAATTTTTAGATGTTATGTGTCCCCCACTACAAGCCTACCATAGTGATTCTCCAGCCGCTTTCACGTTTACCGTACTGATATTGCATGAGTTCGTAATGCATGCAGGAGTGTGTGAGTGAGGGTTTGTTAATGTCATTGTACTGTAATATTAAATCTCTAATTGGGTGTGTGTAATGTATGATTGCACTGGCATATTTTGTGAAATTGCCACTTGTTATAAGGACACTTCTTTTTTCTAAACAGGATGAATTATTCTCTCATGAGTTAGGCTACTATGTATGATGGAACTAATTGGCGACAGCTAATAAAACAAGTGATGAAGTTGTGGCTTGAAGGAGTATAGAGCCAAAGAACATATACGCATGTAAGGAATTAATAGAATTTGTCAATGCCAGACTGCCTTGCCTACTGGTCACCATTTTCATGGTCTCTCTCTCTCTCTCTGGCTTTATCTCTGTATAGTGTACATACATGTAACTTTGAGTGATCTGTTATTTTTTCACTCATATCAAGCCTAAAGGAAAAATTTTATATTGCATTTCCTCTCATTCTTTATGTATTTTCTTCTTGTCTCTTCTCATCTCGCCTCTCCTCTATTGAAACTTATTTAAGGATGATGAAGCAGTGACCAACAAAATATATTTACTTTTGGCAGTACGTAAGATTAGTCATGGTATCAATGTTCTTGTTATTATAGTTTTAATGCATGGTTTGTATATTAATTGTTACTGTTCTTCTTTTTCTTCCACTCTCCATTATCCCCTTGTACTATATAGCAGGGTTACGTCTTGACTACGTGGTTGGTGGTGGAAGGTTTTTGACATAATTGATGGGTTAAATTTTGGCGATTTTATTAGGTCTTATCTTTTACTTGTCAATGATCACAACATGTAAGGAACAATAATGCTTGTAACAGTGATGCTCTCTCTCTTTCTGTCTTTTCTTCCCTTTCTCTTTCATAGAAATTTAAAAGGTTATTTGTTACGTCAGTCTTTTTTCACTCCAACAAAAGGTAAAATTTAACTTATTTTATCTCATCATTCTTCTTGTTCTCTCCTCTTTTCTCAGGCCTTTTACTATCTAAATCCTCTATAATTTTATATAGTTTAACGAAAGGTGAGCCATCAATAATGTTACTGATTTGTGAAGAAAGGGGTTCACACAATTTTTTCTTAATCTTATTTCTTCCTTATTTCTTTATCCTTATTTCTATTTTGTCTTTAGTATGTGTGCATATGTCAACCTGTCAAGAAGATATAGAGAACTGAACAGTATATAGGAGACTTATATGTGTGGTGAGTTACAATTAAGAATTCAGATA